TGGGGTCGAGGCACAGTGTGGACGAGGCATAGATGGGACAAGTATAGATGATATCTGACAGTGATTAAAATCACTATCATAAGAAACGCTTCGATGCAAATCTGTAGATAGTGTTTCCTTTAGAGAAATTGGTGAAATATTTTAAAAGCAACATGAACTCTTATTTCTTTAATTATATCCTGATTAGTAGTTCTTTGATTTTAAAATATAATATATGAATAAATACTAATTATAGTTTTTAAATTTAGTATGAAATTGTGAGGCCAGCTATGATGTATGGTTCATAGTGTTGGGCGGTTGATAAGAAAGTAGAGCAGAGAATAAGTGTAGCAGAGATGAGAATGCTTAGTTGGATGAGTGGAGTGACTAGAGAAGATAGGATAAGGAACGAGCATATAAGAGGAAGTATAGGTGTTGCGTCAATCGTGGATAAGATGACAGAAAATAGACTTAGATTGTTTAGTCATGGTATGAGGAAAGAAGAATCGAAAGCTGTAAGAACAGTTATAGAAATGAATGTTGAAGGAAGAAGAGATAGAGGAAGACCAAAAAAGAGATGGAGGGATGCTATTGAATGCGATTTGAGGACAGCTGATGTGAGCGTAGAAGATGTGGGAGATCGTGTCAAGTGGAAGCTTAGGATAAGGGTGGCCGACCCCAAGTAGTTGGGATTAAGGCAAAGAAAAAGAAAAATATTACCAGATATTCCGGTGGCAATTGACATAATATGATTGTTATTTCGGAATGTACAATTTAGCGTTTAGTTGGGTTTAAATAATATAGCGTCAAATCAATTACCTACTCTATCGGTTGTATCTCAATATACACTACACTTTAATGATACAATAAATAAATAAACTCACACATACACACATATGCATTTATAACATTGTGTCTAATGTAAGTATAACATGATAAAAAGTAACCGTAAAATGAAAAAAATGGAATATAAATTTTATTACTCATATTAAATGTAATGTAACTCGAAAAATATTTGTTTAAATGAAAAAATATAAGATTATATTTTTATTTATAATTGTCTTTTAAACAACTTTTGTGCGAAACTTTTTTTTGTAAGTTAAATATTTTTTTTTGAGAAAATTAAGAAAGCTCATATTTTTGAACTTTTGCGAGGATTTAAAAAAAAAGCTCAATTCCAATCTTGAGGACTATTAGTATGTCATTATACATATTTTAATTCAACTTTTAAAAAAACAAAATTTTTTCCGCAATTTTTCCTTTGTTGACAGGCCTAGATGTCAATTTTAAACTTGTAATTGAGCTAAAAGTTATGGTAATATATTCAATTTATTTTACTATAAACTTTCATAAATCTTTATCAAACATTTTTCATCAACTTTAAAGATCCAAAAAAATAGGTTAAAATTAAAAATTTGGACTGATTATTTTTAACATAATAAAAATCAAATCAGTAATAATTTGAAAACAAATTTTTTTTTCTTTTAATTATTTTTTATATGTAATTACACCAACTTTTAGATGAATTGTCAAGTTTGACATTGACATCATCAAATAGAAAATTTTATGAGAATTAAAAAAATTGTATCGTTAAGATTAATATGCAGTTAGGAAGTTTTATAATTACTATTTATAGTAAATTTATCAAAGTAGATCAATTTTTTTTTTAATTTTTATCGTAATAGATAACTTAAATTGAAGTAATAGTATTAACTTCCTAGTAACTTTTGGTGTTTGAAAAGATTCTGCAATTGAAATATTCAGAACTTAATTAATTTTAATGATTTACTTTAACTAAATGAACAAATCAAAACAAAGTTGTTAAAAAGATTTACTCAATTGACCGTATAATACAATTTGATTATAATTTTAAAAATCCACTGTCAATTCAGGAGAAACTAACAATCATTTTTTTTAGAAATTATTTATATAGCCAAAAAATTTTNATATAGCAACACGTTAGAAAAAAATTTGAATATTATAGTCTAATAGTAGCACACACAAACAGAGTAATAAAATTATTAAATTACAAAGTAAAATGATTTAATTTTGTAGTTGAAACCTATCATATCAAACTTGATTCGTCAATAAATACTTTGAAAACATTAGAAATTAATGATTTTAATTGTTTGTATGGAGGAAATGGAATAACTGCAATTAGACTTTTTAAATTAAAATTTTTTTTCAATTTTTGAGGGTAATATCTTCAACCTAGATACGAATTGTAGTCATTTGACGTATCGTTGAAAAAAATAAATAAAAAATTTGTTACTTATGAATAAATACACTGGACTACAAGAAACTTTCATCAGAA